TATTATTATTATTATAGTTGGAATGTTTACATTGAAGGCAAAGTTGTTCTGATCTTTAAAAGCAGTTTTACCTTGAGTCTCAGGAAAAAAGGGAAAACAGAAACAAAAGTTCATGTTACAATAAGAAACTAATAATTCTTATTATTTAGTTCTGTAGAGGTTGAGAGACTCATCCAGTATAGGCTCTTAAACTCTAGTATAGGCTCTTAACTGTATAAAAGAACTGCTGGTTTTATTTTGCTAATCTAGAGCCAGGAATATTTGAATACTTTTCTATGGCTATCATTACTGTTTGATTAAGGAAATCACAAGAGCCATTAGCTTTAAAGTTGAGATTTGACTCTGGGTTTGTAAAGACTCTGAAGCTCACGTTGCCTCCAAAGCTTGGTGGGGACTCCTGAATGTGACAGAGGCTCAGCAGGCAGAGTACCCATTTTCCTCAGAGAATCAGGGGTGGTGTGGCTGAGGAGATGGTGTTAGGTCTGGGTGGAATCTGCACAGGAGGAAAAGATACTAAGATAGGGAAAAAGAAGAAGTCAGGAGGTAAGGAAGCCAAGGTGTGAGTGAGGTCCAGCGAGAGGGCAGCTCTATGATCAGGGGTGGGTTTTGCTGAGGAGCTCAGGGTTGTTTGCACCTTGCCCCTCATCTTCCATGGAAGGCAGCCAGGAATCCTAGCTTCTGATCCACCACTCTCTCCCCAGGCCCTTAGTGTGAACACATTCCTCTGAGCACCAGCCCTGCTCTGGTTACGCTGAGTTGGGACAAGTGTGTATCCTGTGTCTCCCCACTGCAGCTTATACCCTTTCCCCCCACGTTGGATCAAAGTTTGAACTGGCCTTTGGGTGAACATCAAAGACAGCCAACTCCCCAGGAAAAAGGGACTAAGTTTTTAATTACCCCTTCAGGGTCCACTTAGAGTAATAGCTGTGAATATCTCTCCCAAGTGTCACCCACAGACAGGGAAAGATGTTGCTAAAGATAAGTCAAAATTTCATGGCAAGATCAGCTTAAATATGAGAAGGAAAGCTATATCTGTCTAGACTGTGTCCCAGATCGTACACACTGAAAACCCCATTGTGGATGACAGAGAGAGGAAAGCCATATACAAAATCTTATTTAGCTCCACAAAGGTGAAATTATTTTTTTCAAGATAGTTATGAATGTTCTGAAGATGGCTCATTTTATTTGGTGTTTCAAAAAATAGAAAAAGTTCTACTAGTAACTGTGTCTGCTTAGTATAGGCTCTTAACTGTATAAAAGAACTGCTGGTTTTATTTTGCTAACCTAGAGCCAGGAATATTTGAATACTTTTCTATGGTTATCATTACTGTTTGATTAAGGAAGTAGCAAGAGCCAATGAGATGCTAAAACTGGCTGAGAATTTAGGGTTTTCAATCCATATAAGAATAATCCACTATAATAATTATCATATTTTGTTTGCTATTTCTTTTTCTTAGCTTTTATTATTATTATTATTTATTTTGATAGAGTTGGTTTTAGAGGGGCAATGGACAAATTATACAACAAATAATTTTTGGCCTGGAATCCCAAAGGCTTGGGATTAGATACTAGCTTCATCACAAATACTCTGTGTGACCAGGGTTAAGTCACTTTGATTTGCTTTGACTTTCTAGTAAATAGGTTGCATAAGTTCAGCTTCAAAATATCTTTTAGATCTCAAGATGCACATTTGAAAGTTTTGCATATTCTGAATTTCAATTTTCTGCTTCTGGAATATGTTTACAATGGAAATATCTATCTTCATTATATAATAAAAAGGCACTGGATTTTACATGGTGTTTGTGGAAATCTTTGAATCCTTTTAGAGATAAAAATAATGAAGTAATCAATTTTTCTTCATTAATTAAGTACATTGTAACAGTAATAAGTCTCTAGTTGTGGAACCATGGAAAATAAATTGGAACTAAGATAAAATTCCATGAAAATAAATTTTATTCCATGTAAAATTCAATCTATTTTTACGAAAAACTCAATTAAGTAAACATTTTAAATTCAGGGATTTTGAGGGCACCTATTATTTTTCTGACGTGATAGAAAATCATCTATAATATATTTTTATTTTCTAGGAAGCTCGACCCCAAAATGTTTGATAAGTATAGAAAATAACCACTGTTTAAATATTCTGTTGCCTTGACTCTGGAGAGTCATTGTGTTTTTTTGATTTGAACATATACTTGTTGATTGTTTTCTAAATTATTTTTCTTTCCCTTCAGATTCTTGGTAATAACTTAGTGATACTTGATGAGAATTAAAGCCAATGTGAATGGAACCTCAAGGGAGAAAGTCTTTGTTATTTTCAGAAGAAGGAATGACTGTCTGAGGTCAGCAGAGACTTCATGGTCATTCTCATGGAAGGAGTCTCGGTCTCCTGATTCTTTGACCTCCCTATTGACCAACTGGAGGAGGAGACCGTCTACCTATCCTAGAAATCACAGTGAGTGGGTAATTATCTGAGGGCTAGTTTGTTTCCTGAATGTGAATGGGTGTTTGAAATTTCCTTGTGCCCAACACCTGTTAAAAGCCTTCATTTATGTAGCAGATTCATTTAGTTTTTTTTTTTCTAAGCTCACTCTAGAACTGAGTTAAAAGAAAACACTTGGTTTAAAGTTTTCTGTATATAATAGGTCTTCTGTGCCCAGTGATGGCATGTGGCAGACTTGGCCCATGAATGCTCTTTAGGTTTAGGTTGGAGGCATTTGTCTTCTACAGGAACAACTTTCGCACTACAACTCTGGTTTGTCCGTGATATGTGTTGTGGGAGTGCACCATGGTAACTGGGGGAGTCAGATGCTTAACATCCTACAGAGGATATTAGTGGAAAGTGGAGAAACATCAATGGAGTCAAGCCAAGTCTTCCTTTCTAGCTGAACTCAGCTGTTTGGCCTCACGGTGGTCCCTGGTGATAAACAGGAATCACACCCTGGGTCTTTGGTAAAGAGCAAAAAAAAAGTTATTTCTCTAGATCCAAAACTCAAACTGAGCAAAAGTAATTATTCAGGTTTGTGTGTGTGTGTGTATGTGTGTGTGTGTGTGTGTGTCTGTTTTGCCAAACAAAAATGAAATCAGCTAAAGCATTTTGTGTTTATTTTTATTCAACAAAATTTTTGAACTGTCCTGACACTGTGCTCCTGGGAAGACACACAGATGGAACCCTGGTGTTTCCAACAGTTGTTCTAGGTCATAATAATTCTATGCTTTTCTATTGAAAGAACAATTTATATCTTATAAAAAGTGATGTGACCCAAATTGTAGGTGATGTTTCTATAAGCCTCTTAATGTTTTAGCAGTAAAAGCATTTTTTGAAGTTTGACCAAAATCGGAATTCTGAATTTAAAATGAAAATGTTCTTGACTCTTAATGAGTAGAGTTGAAAAGGGGAAAGCAGATGTGGTCCCATGCTGATTTTATCTTAACACAAAGTGTGCACTGTCTTGAGAATAGAACTCATAGAATAGAAATACACTGTTCTTTAGCATTATTTCAGCAAACATATTTGAATGCCAGGCACAGTTTTGGGGACCATGAAGACTGCTAAGAGACAGATGGACACACCCAACAACCTGAGAGAAAGAGCTGGGTAACTTGACCAAGCAGTGCAGTTTAATGCATCCTAGGAGACAAGTCAGTCTAGAATTCTGAGAGGACACAAAGGAGGGAAAAGTCCTTTCTCCCCAGGAAGGAATGCTTTTAAAGGAAGGGACCTATGATCCACCTGGTTAATGAGAAGGAGGACATTTCTGATTAAGAGACTACAAGAACAGATCCAAGAAAGCCTACTGTGGCTAAGTGCTGTTAGCTGTGGTTTTGCGGGGTTAAAGACAGGTGGGAAGAGAGGCTGAGAGGGAGGTATCTCCAAAAGGACCTGATGGGAGCATTTACTCTGTCAGCACTGAGGAGTCTCAGAAGAATTGTGAAGACTTAAATGATACACCTGCTTTTTAGAACAGTCATTAATAGAAAAATAAGAAAACAAATCGACAAAAGCAAGGAAGGTCAATCATAGTCCATTCCTATGAATCAAGCTCTGGTCTATCACTCAATTGATTTGTGTATGTGTGTGTGTGTGTGTGTTTTGTGTGTGTAATCATTTTAATAATATACATGCAAGAAAGTTATATATGATATATATTTTACATATATATTATTCTTAAACCCCAAATGCAATCCCATTGTGCAAATTTTTTCACTCTGTTTTTAAAAGTATCAGTAAAACACTTCTTAAGTGCCATTTTATAACTGCAGAGCATTATATTGTATCAATATATCATAATAAACTTGCCTTTAAGAGTATAGATTGCTTTCAAATTTTCGATCATAAACAGTGCTGCTCTCACAGCTTGAAGGTGTTTTAAATTACTTCCCTAGGATAAATTTTCAGAAAGAAAAATTTTGATTCAAATGGAACTTGTATTTTTGTATGTTACTAATGAAATACAGTCTTTTTTATTCTGAATTGTGTCATTGGAATTATTTTTTTATTTCCTCATTTTTATTGGTGCATTATAGTTGTACATATTCATGGGATTTGTTGATACACATTCATACATGCACACAATATAACAATATAATTTAGCCAATATCACTCCCAAGCATTTCCTCTTTCTCTCTCCGCCTCCCACCCCTTGATCCCTTTCCTCTACTGATCTCCCTTTGATTTTTAGGAGATCTACCCCCACTGTTGTTTTCTTTTTGCTCTCTAGCTTCTGCATATGATAGAAAACATACAGCCCTTAACCTTCTGAGTTTATTTCACTTAACATGATGGTTTCTAGTTCCATCCATTTTCTTGCGAATGCTATAATTTCATTTTAAAGGCCTTTGTCTTGCACCCTTACATGCTAGTCAGTGTCTTCCTTTTCTAACTTTGTGAATTCATAGATGATAAGAGTTGGATCATTGCTTTAATATGCATCTCTTTCAGGTAGAATGATGCTTTATGAGTAAACTTCATTAAGATCTCTCGCATCTCTCTGTCTTTCTCTAGTCCTGAAATCACATGAAACTGTGGATGAAGATTCTCCTGAAAGTCCCAGAAAACCCTCTCAACCCAGGGACCATGAGCAACAAGACAGTGGTAACAGAGTTTATCCTGCAGGGCTTTTCGGAGCACCCACAATACCACACACTCTTATTCAGTTGTTTCCTCTCCCTATACTCAGTGGCCCTCACAGGGAATGTCCTCATCATCTTGGCCATCACCTTCAACCCTGGGCTCCACACCCCCATGTACTTTTTCCTGTTCAACTTGGCTACTATGGACATTATCTGTACCTCCTCCATCATGCCCAAGGCACTGAAGGGTCTGGTGTCAGAGAAGAACTTCATATCCTTTGGAGGCTGCATGGCACAGCTTTATTTCCTCACATGGTCTGCATCCTCAGAGCTGCTGCTCCTCACAGTCATGGCCTATGACTGGTATGCAGCCATCTGCCACCCACTGCATTACAGCACCATGATGAGCAAGGCATTCTGCAGCATGCTGGCCACTGGAGTGTGGGTGCTCTGTGCCTTCAACACTGCCATCCACACAGGGCTGATGATGCGTTTGAGTTTCTGTGGCCCTAACATCATTACCCATTTCTTCTGTGAGGTTCCTCCACTGCTGCTTCTCTCCTGCAGCTCCACCTATGCGAACAGTGTCATGATTGTCCTGGCTGATGCCTTTTATGGCATATTAAACTTCCTGATGACCATTGTGTCATATGGGTTCATCATTTCTAGCATCCTGAAGATGAGGACTTCAGAAGGGAAGCAGAAAGCCTTCTCCACCTGTTCATCCCACCTCATTGTGGTGTGCATGTACTACACTGCTGTCTTTTATGCCTACATAAGCCCTGTCTCCAGCTACAGTGCAGAGAAAAGCAAGGTGGCTGGGGTGCTATATACCATGTTGAGTCCTACCCTCAACCCCCTCATCTATACTTTGAGAAACAAGGAGGTCAAAGCAGCTCTTGCGAAGTTCTTCCCCTTCTTCAGATGTTAATTTGTGTTTTCAGAAGTTCTTTTTCATGGAGGCTATAGTTTTAGTGAGAATTGACCTTCCTGTGTGTGTGTGTCAGGTGTGTGGGGGGGGGGGTCTGATGAGCAAGTTTCTGGACTGAAGGTAAGTAAGCCTGTCTCTTTCACCCCTGCAGAATGTCTGCATAGATGGGCTCAGAATTCTTTGTCCCTGGATTGGCTGATGGAAGACTGGCTGGGTTTGTGACCCAAAATTTGTGAGACTTGGGGTCTCATAGTCTGACTCCAAGGTGCTTAGTTTGCAGGGAAACAAAGCTTCCTGGGAGAGGAAAAATGCTCCTAGTGTTTTAGGTTTATAGAGTATGAAAATCTTCTTTTTTTCTTTTCTTTCAAATGTACTATGTTCAAAGTATAAATTCTGAAATCACACCTAGGATTTAGGTGTATGTGCCTAAGCAGAGTTAGGCAGGAAATAAAAAGTCCACAGCAAAACTGTCAGACAGAAGAATTGCTTTAGAGTGACCACCAATCTCTAAGAAAACTTCTACTATCTTACATCAACTACTTCCTTTGGAGACCCTTCAACTTAAAAAAAAAAAAAGAATTAGTTTCTTACTGTAACATGAACTTTTATTTCTCTTTTCTCTTTTTTTCTCACTGAGACTCAAGGTAAAACTGATTTGTAAGATCAGAACTTTGCCTTCAATGTAAAAATTCCAATTTTAATAACTGATGTGTGGTTTATATAACTGGAAAATTGCCCAAGATTTCTCACCCCTTGACTTTGTTCTCAGACCTTGAGGATCTGATCTACTTCATTGACCTTGAGTATAGACAGCGGATATGATTCAGCTGTAATAGGAACATTGTAAGAAGGCACTGTTTTCCTCAAATCATTTCTCAATAAAACTGAGTGGACAAATTCTCTGTGCTCTGTGCTATTTAAAAAAAAAAAAAAAAAACTTTCCTAAAAATCTATCATTTTTATTATGATGACAGAAGCAAGATGTGAATGTTAAGCTGTATCTCTCGGATTGAACAAAAACATACTGTTGGCTGTTTTAGGTTGAAGCTGAAAGAAAAGTTACTTATTTGATTTGGAAAGGATAAGTTGTCTTTGATCCTTCAACCAGTATTCTCATTATCTTTTATTAGAAGCATATTGATAGCGGGAATGAAATTCAAGAATTTAATGAACTGTGACTGATAAATAGTTCATTCTACCTCATTGTGGGATTTCCCCAATTACATGATGAAGCCCTCAGTTGTCTTAAAGAATTTCCAATTACCATAGCTTTGAAAAATATCAGCAAGGATTCACTTACTAATACATTACTAATAGATTTTCAACATGCCACAAGGAATATTTGTTGTTTTATTCCTCTAAGTTTCTTACAATTTTTATGGTTTCTACATTGAACTATTGATTTTTAAAAGTAAGAAGTACTTGGATAAATACTGAGAGTTTAAGAGAGATAAATAAAAATATGACAAAACAGAAATATGAGATTTGATCTATATTCTTAGAAAGCGGTTTGCCCAGTTAAATAGATACCAGCACCCACATTATCAAGTATACAAAGAAAACACAGAGAGAGTACTGCATTTCAGTCATGGAGCAATGGTGTTCTAGATGCTCAGAGAGGAAGTATGAGTGTGGAAAGAGTCCTGATATGGAAGGAGGAAGATCTGTGTTGGAGTCCAGACTCAGCCCTTTTGAGCCCTAGTTTCCTTATAAGTTTGATGACAAAAACCAACTAATGCTACCTGAAGAAAAAGATTTAAAGTGTTATTAAGACATTACTGTTGGTGAATGATCACTGAAGGTGGGAGTGGCTAAGGAAGCCTCAGTGTCACAAGCTCTGTGCCCTTCTGACTCAGAGTGTCTACAGTGGCTGGCTGGGAAGGGTAAGGGACCTTACAGATAGAGGATGTTGACAGCTATAGACTTGGCTCTCGAAAAATGATCCATTGGTGAGAAGACATTAGGGTGGGTAAAGGAGAAAACACATTCTAGTAACTGTAAAAAGTAGATCTTATTTATCTTAGGAATCGTTGGGCTGATGAATGACACCATCTCTACTCAGAGTCCAAATGGGGATGTTCCCCTGCAGAGATGGATCGTCAACCTTTCATCCTGAGTGCTCTACTGGTTCCCCAAAGCCCACCTTCTTTCAGACCCAACACTTTTTTTCCCTCACCTCTCCAAATAGGTTCATTTGAGTCTTTAGATTACCCCCGCTTTGCTCTGCTTCTCTTGTTCTTTCAAGCCCTATATGAACAGCAGGCAGTCTCTGTAAGCTATCTTTGTACAGGTATATCCCTCACCACTGGATTGCTGTTTTGCTCAATGTCTGCTTCTTAGAAATATGTGTGTCCTTTTCCTCCAATGGATGTAACAACTAAGACCATTTTTTTTACACATCCTTTTCTAGGAACTGGCTCCAATAACCCACCCGAGATACAAACTTCCTTTAACTGAGACAGAAATGAGCTCTTCCTTTTCTATAATATTACTTCTTAAAACTTGTCCTGTGACAATGCAGACAAACTCATGACCCAAAGGCAGCACTTCTCGTGACTGGTTGCCAGTGACTTCATATTATCAAGTCTTCAAAAGGCACATAAAGGAGGTGACAGAACTTCCATTTCACCCATATCTATACTTTTTGTCTTTGATAAATACATATCAGTCAAGGAAAGCACATCCTTTCTTGGAAAGAATCCCCAACCACAAACCTTGTTTTGGTCTTCCTCACCAGCAGACGTCTCCAAGTGGTGGAAATAAGATTGGTTTTCCAGAACCAGCAACCACACAGTGATGGGCCTGGCTGATGCAGACAGGATATGGTCTGCAGTGTACCCAGCTCCCTGTCTCTAAGCATGGAATGAGAAAAGGGTCTGGACTCTTGAAGGCAATATGTCCTTATGCTGACTCCATGACACATTCAAGAATCAAAGTGTGACTAGGCAAGCACCTTACCACTGAGCTACATGCCCCAACCCTTTCTTTTTTGTTGTTATTTTTAGATATATATGACAGTACATTGTAATTTGACATTTTATACATACATGGTCTATAACTTCCCATTCTTGTGGTTGACATGCTGTGGAGTTTACTGGTTTTGTATTTATATATGAACATAGGAAAGTTCTGTCCAATTCATTCACTGTCTTTCCTATTACTCTTCCCCTGCCCTTCATTCATTCTCCTTTGTCTAATCCAATGAGCTTCTATTCTTCCCACCCCACCTCCATTATTGTATGTTAGCATCATCCATATATCAGAGAGAACATTCAGCCTTTGGTTTTGGGGGATTGGCTTATTTCACTTAGCCTGATAATTCTCCAGTTCCAATTATTTACCAGCAAATGTATAACTTCAGTCTTCTTTATGGCTGACTAATATTCCATTGTGTATATATATCACCTGCGTAAGGCTATGGATTGGATCCCCAGAACCACAAAAACAAACAAACTAACAACAACAAATGAAACCTCATTTGCAGCCTATAAAAATCTTATATTTAGAGTGAACTCTTATACAAAGTCATAACAGTATATCATGGCATCTTGTATTCTAATTGTTATTATTTGAAAAAATAAAAATATCAGCACTCTTAAAGTGTGACTAGGTCTTGATTTGTCCTGTTTGGGAGTGAGCCAGCCCCATGTCTTTGGCAGACCAGGATTTACCATGTATATCTGAGTCTAAACTTCTTGGTACTGAGTTGTGTGTTCCCATATTCTGTCTTTTCCCCCTTTAACACTTAGACTATGAGAGATGAATCAAAAGAATGAGACAAATCAGAAAGCTTATTTTTTTTCTGATTTATAATCAACATATGTGATGAGGTGGTACTATAAAAGTTTGCCTTCCAAAATGGAGCTTTCACCTATATATACTCTATTAGATAGTAGAAAAACTCAGAGCTCAAATTGCAATACACCATCCACTTGATGCTAACTTGATGTACTTGATGCTAACTCACCTTCTCACCAGAACTTTTTTATGTCTCATTCTGAAGGCTCTTCACATTGTTGATCATTTCCTTTGCTATGCAGAAGATTTTTAATTTAAAAATATCCCATTTATTGATTTTTATTATTATTTCTCGAGCTATAGGAATCCTATTCAGGAAGTCAATTTTTGTGCCTGTATGTGGAAGTGATTCCTCTATATTTTCTTCTAGAACTTGTAAAGTTTAGTCTTATGACTAAAATTTTAATCCATTTTGAGTTGACTTTTGTAGACTTCAAGAAGTAGGAGTCTAATTTTTATTCTTCCCTAAATGAATATCTGATTTCCCCAGCACTCTTTGTTAAAGAAAGTGGTATTTTTTCCTCCAATGTATCATTTTTGCACCTTTGTCAAAAATTAGATGACTGTAGCTTTGTGAGTTTTTCTGTGGTCTAAACGTCTGTTTCTATTCTAGGACCATGCTATTTTTGTTACTATTTCTCTGTAGCATAATTTGAAATCAGGTATTGCGATGCCTACTTTATTTTCTTTGCTCAGGATTTCTTTGGTTATTCTGGGCCTTTTGTTCTTCATATGGAATTTTAGGGTTATTTTTTAATGCTGTGAGGAGTATCCATTGGGATTTTGGTGAGGAATGCATTGAATGTGTACATCACTTTTGGTAATGAGTCCACTTAAAAATAGTAATTATGCCTATGTATGAGCGTGGGAGATCTTTTCATCCTCTTCAAATTTTTTTTCAACATTCTCCATTTTTCCTTGTAGAAATCTTTGACCTGCTTCGTTAGATTTATTCCTAGAGTTTTTTTTTAAGGTTTTGTAAATTGCATTATATTACTGATTTCCTTCTCAGTTATTTATTATTGGTGCATAGAAAGTGATTGATATTTGTATATTGAAAATATATCCTGCTACTTGGCTAAATTTGTTTATCCACTCTAGAAGTATTCTGATGAAATCTTTGATCAAAAGTATAGGCTCATGTCATCTGCAAATAATTTGACTTCTTCCTTTCCTATCCCTATTTCTTTTATTCCCTTCTCTTGCCTAATTGTTCTGGCTACAGTATCAAGTACTACATTG